CCGACGACGAAAATGCTCGAGAGTTCTTCCGAGAGCTTCATGTCACCAGTGTAGTGAACGGCGGCTCGTTTTAAGACCATGTCCGATACGGCATCGGTCTGTCGAAGAGACTTGGCGGCGACTTCGCTTGACGGCTGGGCTGATCTTTTGGACATTTTAGGAAATTCAATAACAGAAAGCAAGAAAGAATCCAAGTGAATTAACGACACCAACCTTTCCCCAAGAGATATACGGACTTGTCAACTGAGTTGCATACTAGGGAGGCGCGGCAGACCCCAGGACGATGTGGTGACAAACCCCTGATGATAGTTATCTTTACGATGGTCATAATGCGTTACTACCAGCAGCAAAACTATCCTTACTATTGACAGTTCCGCCGCTTGGGATCATTGATGATCATCAACCTCAGTAGGAGTGGGGCTCCGACTGGACAGTATATTAATCATGATCGGTAGTACTACGTACACCTGTTAGACCAGAAAATTTTAAGGAGTTAAATTTTCCCAAATTGTGAAGAGCAACACTATGAATAAAATTGTCAATCATAATAGTGAGAATGCTTTTATCACGAGTAAGCTGCAATACCCGTAAACCCGTATTCACGATCGAGTCGTGGAAAATACAGTCAACAAATTGTCAAGGGAAAAATGCCTATAACTTGGTAAATGCAGGGAACTTGTCAGGTAAAACTAAGGTGTCCCAAATTAAGAGCTTCCTGATGTTGGATAACCTCAGCTCTTGCGACCAATGAGCCCGATAGAAAAATCTCCGAATAACTAACAACGTTATGTGAGGTGGACTCAAGCACGCAAGATCTCGAAATAGCTATTATATCTATATCGATTGGTTGATTCTTTATAAACGCGTTTCATCGTGAAAGGTTCATCTATGGTCGCTCGTTGGTTTATCATGTAGAATGTCTGTTGTCTAACAACATTGAGTCAGTTGGCTAGTTGGAATTAGTGGAGCCAAAGCATCGTACGTTGCCTCAAAACTTGTGAGATCCGCCGAGATTTTCAACCCCGAAATTCTGTCGAAAGTCTTCCGAAACTTGCAACGATGGAGGCTTCGCTCCGCATCATCAGCGAGGTCACGGAATGCTCCAGAATCATCTCGGTGCTCTCCCAAGCTCACTAGAATTGGGGCGGATGGGCTCAGGAAAGTCCCCATTAACTAAATGGTAACTGGATGTTAATCGATTCAATATCCCTCAACCACAACACCTAGGTCCGAGCAATTGAGAGGTGCTCATTATATTTACATCATCCGCTCAATCATTGAACCTCTTTGAAATTAATGAAGATGTCCTTATATACTATCAGGTTCAGTGTTTGGGGAATATATATTTGCTGTCCTCACTGAGGACTCCTCAGCTGAGTACTGTTTCCGTGTTGTAGTCACTAAAATTCGAGTGACTAAATGCGCCATACAACCTCCCGAGAAAATGCACATGCTCATCAGGTCCCCCGAGGTGGAATTTCCACGGTGGAAGGCATTAGGCGATTTATGGCGGGCTCGAGTGACATGCACAATAATCAATTTCCAACCGCTCGATGAGGCCGTCTCATCGCGACGTATGGCAGTGAGAAACAGGGTTATTCGAAATTAATGTGTTGGCAGCCATCTTAATAATAAATTGAGTGCATTTTCGAAAGTCAACTATGAATACAATCGTTTTATGAATATGGCCTTTTCAGAGCATTTGTGTAATACTCCCATGTCAACGAGAGTGATTCTCATCCTCCTATTGATCCGCCTCGACAACACAGTATCGACTGTGCTTCCAAACGGTACCTTTTCATCAACGATTGGTGACTTGCCGGGTTTGGTAAGCTCCGTTCAATTGCATACGGTCGTCAACGACGAACTGTCTATGGGCATGCTACATTTGTACCACTCGCACATTCTTCCCTCGGGAAAACCAGAAGTGACATATGATCGCGCCTTTATCGACATGAAGACGAGACCCAACACCTCAATAATCGACTTACAAGATGCCAAGCCGTCTGATACACCGGAGAGAACAATCACACTTCACGACTGGACCACTAGGTTATGCCAAGTTCTCGTTCCCACCAAGTCAGGGAAACTTGCCAGTATTATTAAACCCCACCAGTTCTCTGCTGACGACTCTGATTACGAAGTTCAAAGAGACGAAACTACATGTTCAAGCTTTCAATTGGTTGCTGAGACTAAAGTCAAAGTAGAACTCAAAGTCAGCTGTGTAGAGGTCCTCAAACATCGCCGACTCCCTTCACAAGATCCGAGATCGATTCGACACCGATCGTCTGACTGGTCTATCATCCTCGGTCGTGAAACGCCTGTATGATCTCGAGCTGTGGGCTTCACTAAGATGTATTCATGTTTATCTGCGATTTGGTGTTGTTGACGAAGAGGAGGCAGTTGAGTTGTTGGGAAGCGGGAATATGAACCTCGTCTCGAGAGTCTTCATTTTTACCATGAATGTTATCGGTGTTCGAAATGATGTTCACAGTCGTTGTCGACATTTTTCGAACAGTAGCTGTGTGCCTCCTACGGGGTAAATCCTTTCTCAAAATAACGCGTAGCTCATCGAATCCATCGCAAGCTTTACCAGTAGTATAGTTCTTCAACAAATCGCAAATCTCTAAGAAATTACTTGCTTGAACTCTCCCATAATGTTATGGACCAACGGCGGTGTAACAGTTCTCTAACACGCTTAACCATAGAAATTCTATGAAAGCGTCATTCTATGGTAGAGTGACGCTTTGGAAGAGTTGTTGTGATTTCCCTCTTTACTTAACGAAAGGTGATTGACCCTCCATCCTTGTCGGAGGGAGTTCACTACAAGTGTTCGACAAATGTAGTCTTCATATGATGAATACTCAGCTGCTGAGCTGCAAAGCATAGACACGACTTCGAAGAATGTCGCGAGTTGACATGCATGTGAATGACAAGTTCGACCCCTTCTGGTCACATGCTCCGGTCCGGTTATTCGGGGTTATATTCAACTGGCGGATCTCTTCCGATAGGAGGCTGTTAGAGAACACCGACATGATGCATATATGAGATTCAAAGCTAGATGTGAAAGGGAAAGAGCTCACATTTCGGGTAGCAAAATATGTTCGAAGAACCCCGAGCAAGCGATGATTAAATAAGACGCTTCCCTTTCAACATGAGGGACTAGAACTCGAACAGTAGCTGGGATAGTGGTCATGATAATAGTGCTAGTAATAGCAGAAGTCATTGAGATGGGCGTAGATACAACTGACAGAGAATATGTCGACGAGTGCCATACTCTGATCTTGAATATCTTTAACATGAAACTCTGTTACACGCTGAAGCCAAATAGTCAGCGCTCATGTTTGATCACCGAGCGGGACCCACCAAGGCCTCTGGTAGACTCCAACTTCACCCTGTGGCGAACAGCTGCAACTCCCCACGGCAACGCCACATCACAGCCTTCATTCTTCACAGACCGATGATTGGTCACTATCTCGAGTTCGTCTTTAGTGACAACGCGTCGTTCCCTCTTCACAGCGCCAAAGCCTAGTGCCTCCCGTGAGCACCGTTGATGGCGACTCGGATACTTATCGTGCTCGGAACTGTCGTGACTGAGTCCCAGCACCCTCCTCATCCCTGCAGAAATGTTGTGCTCTATCCAGCCACTGTCCGCACCCAAACTCGAAACGTGTATTTCGACCCCTTCCGGTCGTCCGATTCGGTCCTCCTGCTGGTCCTCTTCGAAACTTCTACTTCTTGAAACCTCAGCCCGGTCTACAACGGCCGAAGCCGATCTGTTGGGTTCTGCGTGACGATCGGACTCCCTTCCCTCGACATCTTCTTGTACAGTGTCTTTACGACCAACACAGACCCTTTCCGATTCCGATGGAGCCAGGTCATCTCCAGCTGTGGAATCCGCATCGCGCCGACTCGAAGCTCCGCTGGTGCTAGAACTAGAGGCGCCGTCTTCATCGCGGAATAGATCGCGATAGGCCCGCTTCCTAAGGCGCTTGCTCCGACGGGGGCCTCGAGACGACGATGACGAATCAAAGCCCCTGAGGAATTCCTTGGCTCGATTCTCTCGAATACGAGCGCTGCGTCGCGCCCCGGAGCGATGATGGAACAATCCGAGAGCTTCCTTCTTACGCATCGGTGATGGAGTGATTGCAGTGCATTCGGGAGACGAGGGAGAAGTCGATACGGTAGGTTCTTCCACCAGCGGCTGGCTCGGAGCATTCACCGAGATGGTAAAATTACATGAGCTGGTAAGAGAGTCCGTCGCCGGTGGTGAGGTGAAAATATATGGGCTAGTCGAAGAGTCCGGGGACTCTTCTGGAATGGGCAAGACCTCTGCGCGGAGGGACACTGTGAAGGGCGTCTCACAGTGGGGGCATTTCACAGTCAACATCTGCAATTTCTGACGTTGAGTACCTCATAGATGGTGATATGAAATGTAGCGGATAGATTATACTCTCTGCCACTCTTCCACGTCTATTTGCACAATAGCAACCCTCTCTTAGGTTGCGAGATAGAATTGTAGATACTCTCAATTCCGACAAGGAACTATAATAAGAACTTCAATTTCAACACAATGCCATAGGAACCTAGATTTCGTTGTTTTCAGTGAAGTCAAATCTGTATTTAGGAATCCCTATTTCGTATTTTATACTAGACCCCAACGGGTATAAAGGTCACGAGGATTGCCATAACCGTAGCTATGATAAAGTTACAGTCTCGAAAGAGTGGTGGAGCCGTTTTCAAAAGAAGTTACTATGGTTCAGATAGGCGTTGAAAGAACTATCAATTCATAATTGGATGACCTAAGCTGAAGCGGTTGTATTACGGACATCTGTTAGGTGCCAGAGGTCCCTTATACCTCCTTATCGCCAATGGGCAAGCCCGCAAGGTTGTTACTTCATGAAAATAGACCTCGCACGAATAACACAAGATTCTACATTGGAAAGAGAGACAAAGCTCAATGAGATGAGCGGCAGGTGAAGTAATTTCACGACTGCTACGACATAAATACAATGACAAACAGGACTAAAGGCCCACTGGGGTCATACACGATCCTAGAACCTCACTCATCTAGTGAGGAAGAGGTTCTATGGAAGGCGACGTGAATCCAGTATACTAGGCGACAATGATTTCATCGCCCTGTGTATGGCTACTCGATTTTGGACACTTGGAAAGAGTCCTCAACTGCCATAGCACTTATAGTAGCATTATATCCCCAGTAGGTAAAATTAAGCAAAGTTGAGTTGACAACATCAAGCTCTACATAACCATGAGTGAATACGCCTTTCTTATACCACGGAACCTTGAACCGTTCACAAGAGGTCACCTCCATGAAGCGTGGAGAGCCAGCCAGAACATGAACTATTCCATCGATAGCGGCGGTGCGCTCGTAGAGATGATAATGACCAGCAACGTAAACGTCAACGTGGTGTTTCCTGAGCACCGGAGCAACATCCGAGATCAAGTGTCTACCCACATCGTCATCAACGTCAAAACCCTTGCAACTCTGATACATAGCTCTGTGACCAGTGACAATAACCCATGGCGTCTTCTTACGATCAACATTGGCGAGATCATTTTCTAGCCATTTGTGTTGAGCGCTACCATTTAGCCAATTATGTTCAGTGGACATCATAACATAGTGTACTAAACCAGAGTCAAACGAATACCAATATTTAGGCTCTTTTGATCCATCACGGAAGGCGAAACGATGAGTGAAGGGCACACCGCACTCACCACCCGAGTCGGTTTGATTGTAGTTGCCAAAGTCAGGATACCACCCCTTCGGATTGTTTGTCGACACGTAGTCATGATTGCCAACACTCGTAACGAAAGGGGCCTTCATCGCGAATTTGTATTCCATCTCCGCCCCGAACTGGTCCCAAAACGTGCCATAACCGTCGGCATAAGATATATCTCCATAGAGTATAGTGAGCCTTATACGCTCATTGTCTTGAAGATGAGTGAGCGGAACACTGGCGTGAAGAGAAGGGAACATCAACGCTCCACCAGAGACTAATCCCCCTCCATCTATCACGCCAGTGACGCCTAAATCGCCGAGCAACGCCACACTATGTCGTGTGGAATCGCCGGGAAGAATCCTCGGATGAGGCGTGAAGGATCGAGACTCTCTCCCACCGTTGCGGATCTTGACCGTTGTCCCAGGCTCGAGGTTAGGAATGTTAACAGAATGGAAGAATCCTGGATCGCGATAGCCAACGTGGATCGCTATGTTGTTGCACATATCTTCTGCTTTATAGGTATGGGGTTGACTGGTCTCCTTATGAGTGGTCCATGTAGTCGTGCCAGGCTTCTGGTAGAGTACTTCCCCTCGTTCACTCGACGCACTAACCCAATTCACTTGGAGACCATCATCACCGATGATAGTGAGATACGCTTGAGTTGGCTCGTCATCACCTTGGGCGAAGGTCAAGTCTGTTGAACAGACTTCCTTATCACCACTGTCTGTACGGTAGACGACTCTATACCCACCACTACGTAAGTTGACTGGATTCAGCACGTACTCACGAGTCCCTTTCAAATCTGATAATAATATACTGAACACATCTCCCTTGAAGGGCCCAGATGTGTTTTTCAAAAAGAAGTCTATAGTGTCGCCATCATTCACCGGCTGACCCCAGGAAATCTTTACAGGGTCATAACTGTATGCCAGCTGGGAAGGGGATATCGATACACAGCTGCTAGGAGGCGGTGTAGCTGTCGTCGGCGGGCTTGGAGCGGTTGTGCCACTGTGATTGCTGGAACACCCAGCACTGAGTACCCCTATGGTGATGAAAACAACATATAGAAGGAGCGAAAATGCAACCGTTGAGTTGTGGCCGACATCAGCGGCGCGACGCGCGATATTGGGCGACATGTTCATCGTGGAAGAACATAAACCTTCAATCAACACAATTTCTTCACATTCCGGGTGTTGGGCACCTGCTTTGCCCAAAGCTTCAACATATGCCATGATGGCATCAGCGCGCGCTGGGGTGCCCTGGGAGAGCGCGCCCAAACCTTTCACGCAATCACGCACGTGCGACCTGCCTACTGAATAGTGCTGCAATTAGCAATACCGTATGTGAGTTGATCACTCACGAGCAACCGCAATTTCCCGACTGAGGTCGATTCTCTTATTTTTCTGGCAGCAGGTCTACTTAATTATCGATTATCATTCGTTGCGGAATCATTTATCCATCAAGATGCACTCATAGGCGACATAAAAGAAGGCAACGCGTCACGAATTCATGTACGCGCACAAGACGGGGAACGGGTGACCAGAAAGCTTCTTCCTTGAAGAATGCATTTCCCTCACACCAGAGAGGAAAGCTCTAGCAAGATATACGAGGAGTACTACTCCTGGAGTAGCTTCACTTACAAACGCGAATCAAAGAGTTCAACCATAAACGTATCGGTGTTGTGTGCCTAAGTTGACTCCCAACCAAAGCTTGTCCAAGGCGCAGAAAAGCCTTTGTGTATGCGTGCAACTATGTAAGGGCATAGACTATGTATGCCCTTACACAGTTGCACGCATAACTGATGGCTTGAGGGCAGGGATAACTTCAAGAGTGCAAGGATAACCATTCTCAGTTACTTACACTAAATAGATGAGGAGAAATGCTAAGATCACAATGGTGCACACAGAGTGACTCAGCTACGATCGGCATGAGAGGCATTTACCGTCATTGGATGAGTTATTAGCTGCAAATTCTGCTGTGACGAAACCATTCTTGGAGAGTCGTGTGAGTGAATCTGCGGCAGATTATTAGCAGGTGACTCACCTGCTGAATACTTGGTTGGTAGAAATGTGCGTACTAGATTTAGTATGCCGGTTAAGGTTCCTGCTAGTGAACCTCCTTCTGAATTGGTTACCTTTCAAAAGGGTCAATTGGTTTGGTTGCTTAAATCCAAAGCTGAAAGACGATCTGGTGCGAGATTTTACCCATATGAGTATGTGATCACTGAATGTTCTCCATATGCTTATAAGCTGATTCGTGAAGATGGCCGTGGAAACCTAGTTACGGCAACAGTTGATAGATTAGTATTATGTCGACATCAACCATTATCTGAACCAGTACTCCCAGTAACTAGTTCAGTATGCAGGACACCTATGTCCCCATCGACCTTATTCATCGATTATCATTATTGTTAAGTACGTGTTTCAAACATTACACATCTTGATCCGTTGCTATGTGATGTAGCTTCCTTGTCCTCTCTATTATGATCGAGCGTGTATCACAAAACACAGTACGCTAGTTTCGCACGAGCTTCACCTTCATATTCTCATGGCACTGAGTTCATTCCAAGACGTCTGATAATAAGTTATATCCATCTCATCGTCACTACTGAGCTCATCTCAATGACGGGGATTCTTCCAAAAGCATCCCCCACAATCATTCGTAACTCGAAAATTGTCAAGATGCCCCTGTCACCACAGACGACGATGAACCCAAGGCGTGGTATGATAGGAAATAAATAGCATTTATAACTCAGTTTTTCTTGGGGGGTTCAGCAGCACCAGCTACCTCTGGTTGATTGAACGCATCCTTCTCGATCAGATCGAGGATTTGCTTATGGAAATTCATCGTCTCCTCCTCCAATTTCTTCTTCCTCTCAGCATTTTCTTTCACCTAAAACCAACCCCACTTCAACAGAACCATCTTTCCAACCCCTGTCACGCTCGACAACCCCGCTCGGGGCAAACCATAATTTCCCATCCAACATTTTCAACAGAATTTCTGATTTTCCCCGTTGAATTCATTCAATCAGTTGACACAAGAAAGGAGTGTCCTCGCGACTCTCTATAATTCCGAAGCTGATCCGATGAGCACCAAAGCCTAAGTGACTTCCTAGGATCGACACGCTCCAATTTCACCGTTTCCCTACTTGTTTGAAGAACATCTGCACCATCGGCCGACTTTCCTTCAGTTGATGCACCTACCGACGAGACACCATTTGAATTTCGTGGCGCGTGACGTTCCATCTGTCCTTACTTCCCCAGCAAGGTCCATTATGTTACGTAGGACCAAGTAGTTTCGACAGCAGTTAAGCGATGCCTCCCTCTCATGAGCACACTCCAAACGCTTGGCAAAGATGAGAATAGCCATGCAGCCATACTGAAAAAAGAGGACACTGTTAGATCCACTATCTTGGGAGTTCTCCAGCATGCTTCGTGACAGTCGAAAATACCCAATGGCGAGCATAAAATACAACAAAAGATATGAATAACGCACACAGAAGATACTACTGGACAATGTGTTCAAGTAGGTAAATCATTATATATCGTGAGTACTTGAACACCGTGTTGACGAATCGCGGGATTGCATTATACGTGAATAAAATTTCTCCAGGAAAAACGATTCAAAATAGGCTCACCTCATGCAGTAGGACGGGGTGGTCGTAAAGGAATTGCTCCAACTCATCCAAATCTGTTATCTCCGCGTATTGTCCAAGAACCTCCTCATTGTTTTCCATGTAGCTGAAAAGGAAGAAGCGATAAACTTCAACAAGACCAAATCAAGCGAACTAGAGTTCTAGAGTGGCTCTACTTTCAAGAAGACCACTCGTCTTCTCCTCACAGGAGCATCGAAAGCCGAAGTAGTAGTGTATAATTCGTCATTGACGTAGCATAATGCCAATGTCCACATTTTTGACTTTTTTTTCGCAAAAAAAGCATGCATTTTCCCGACGACGAGACTACGGGTCTCGGGCGTAAATTTCAACAGGATATGAACTGAGTGCCAACATGATCGTCCCATTTCGCCTTGATGATAAAACATGCCCCGATTGAGTTCCACAGCCTCATTTCATGTATTTTGTATGTACCCCTATTCAAAGCGACCGAGCAAGACTGGTGACCCTATTACTCCAGAGTATCTTCCCCGCTCGAATCCGCCTCATCCTTCGTCACCGGTGGCGGCGCTTTCTCGATCTTCTTGTCGGAGATTATCGTCTGGCAAGATAACACTACGCCGTAAACACAATAATAACCGCCCGTTTTGGGGTGATTTATTCCGAGACAAGAGTGCACTATTCTTCGAGGCTTTAAAGCTTCGTGTTGCGCATTCAAGAGACGCGTTAATCGTCGCTCGCGTGGATGTCATTGGAATACATTCAACCCCTTCCGCGCACAGTGAAGGATATCCTCACCTTCTCATCGACGACATGACAAAGATTCTCTCCGTACAGCGGCTTTGACCTCTCCAACTTCTCCAACTTCTTCATCGCCTCTGGAGACCCATCCTGAATATTCAATTAATACAATGAACGATTAAGTGAGTGATTTATTCCGATGATGACATGGGAAGACAAAAACAGTTGTAATTGAGAAATTGTTAATCCGTGAAAACGAGCAATTCGTTGTCCCTTGAAAAACAAAAGTGATTGATGGATTCAGCGAGCACTCTCATATCAAAACTTTCATTTCATGTTTACCCAAAATCCCCTTCTCAAAATGGCAATCTCGAAGGCAATTTTTTAATGGGAAAATTGGAGCGAATTTCTCATTAAACTCATCTAAAGACGCAAAAAATCTTCTAGTTGCTACCTCCAGCAGCTGTTTTCTCTGTTGCTCATATTCTTCCATTTTGCGCTCTCGCTGGGCGCGCTTGACTTTAATATTCAAACCTGACTGGCAAAATACAAGCCGCGGGATTTGAACCAACGATCTACCAGTGTCAAGATTTGGGTGGGAATCAGCCTCATCATCAGAGAGGTCGATATTATCCCACTTCGAATAGTCGAACGACAGGTTGGACATTACAAACACAATCAAACTCTGCTTCACATCCGAAGGTCCCCGGTTCGATCCTCGCCGCCATCACCTCAATTAAATATGAATGAAATGAACTCGCCCGAAGCCACAAGAAACGTCATTGGTCATCATACGTATTGAGCATCCGTTCTGGTATGCCCCTATTAAGCACCTTCCGTTTCCCTTCAGGACCACCATCATCTTTACACACTCGACCCTCTCTCTTCGTGCCGCGCCGTTTATGAGCATCCGCGACCAATCGATGCATATACACGAAATACCATAACATGTTATCATAACGACCGTCGTAGGGCGCTGAAATGAAGGTATTCCAACAATGCCAAATAACGATGAAAATAGATTCATCATTCACACAACTGCACTCGATTGCTCTGGCGAATTCCAACGAGTATATCGACTACTTGCACTATAAAGGAGACCAATTTTTGAAAATCATAAAACTTAAGTAAATATTCCATAGAGAAATTTTCATGGATCCAAAATGTGTAGTTATTCCTGTTGAGTTTGATAGCTTCAAAATCGATTATGAGTTCTCCACACTCCGTGGGCAGATGTACAATTCAACATTATAATCACGACCATCTCGAGCCGAGTATACTAATACTAGACTTACCGTCATTGACAGCTTCCCACTGCTCCTTGCACAGTAGATAGCATGCCTCCACTGTAGCTAGGCACTCAGGGCCCTCGTGCTGATACCGCCAGAAATTAGTAGCATGAGAAGTGATACCAACTTTTGGTAGGTTCTTGAGCGAAGGATGGCTGAAAAACAATCGTGAGGCGAAGGAGAAGACGGCAAGCTGAGTAACGTAGTGGAGAGTAGTGGAGAGTAGTTCGAGACCGGTATCCGGATACCGGTCTCGAACCTATTGGCAACCTATTATGTGTTCTGGCATAAACGAGCTAGTGGCACAATGGCAAAGTGTGTCATCGTGTCTCCACTACTCTCCACTAGCGTGAAAGAACGATCTTCAAGATCGTTGTTTTCACGAGTCGAAATTGACAAGTTGTCAATTTCGACTGTTGTAAATACGACATATTCAGCATCACAACTTTGATAAAATTATACGAGGAAATGCTAGACGGTGGACCAAGAGTGATGAAAATATCTCAACTGAACCCTTTCATTGTCACAGGATGTTTCACTGAGCACAACGGGCATACACTACTGATAGTTCCCAGAGTTTTTCACCGTCACTGCGCCACGAAATTACCTCAGCATGTACCCGGTCTGATGCCAAGTACAGTCAATGACCGCGACTCGCTTGATTTTGGACCAGTCAACCTCCTCGATGCTTTTGCTGTCCTCACCAGGGTACAAGAGAACGGTGGATTCGGGGTCAAAGTTGGGCTGGAAATCTTCCGTCGCAGAGTGAAGATACGCTCGAGGCACCTAAAAATGACACTAATTGGACCTATTCCGTATCTTACACGGTAGAACCTTGGATGCGTCTTCTCCTGGGACCCGATCAGGATTGCATATCAGCTGTAGTGGAATCACGCTGGACTTGCTGGCCTTCTCAGTGGGATGGCGCACTAGATGTATATCGAATGGTGGACGGACGTAGGGTACCTTAACACGGGCTGAACGTGAGCACACAACTTGAAAATTTTTATAAGTTTCGAACTGTTCATCAAAAGAGTCCTTCGAGAGAACATATTTCAACTGTTTTTTCAGAAGGGTAGAGCGAATGATAAAAAGACAGTTTGAAATCCATAATTTTCGCTCAATTCAGTTGAATGTGCCAAACAGTTGGAAAAGCCCGTTCCAGTGAAATCATCCAAGAGTTTGCGAAAATATAAAACTGACCGTTTTCCAGTGATACGCTTGGCAATAGTTGGCATCAGGACGAGTGACCAAGTGATGTCAAGGTGAGGGGAATCATCCAGGAACCCATAGTGCTCCTGGGGGAGCTGATTTCGAAATTTCCACATGGCTTTGAGTAAACTTTTCAATCAGTTTCTTATGTGAATATTTTCCCCATTTTCTTGTCAAACCCTGAGGGACATTATTTCTCAAAGCCACATGGGTCTCAGATGACAACAGAGCTTCTCATCAAATCAGAAACGATTCTGAATGGTCCCATGAGGAACCACCACTGATGCCGACTTGCGAGGAGTAGACAGAAGGCTTACCCCATCCCAAGTGTCGACGGGCACGGCGCATTCGTAGCAGTAGAACTTCCGTCGTCGCCCACACTTAGGGCACTCCTTTCGAGAGGACTCCGACTCTAACGGGGTGAAAGGAGACAGTCGCAAGGCCTTTAAGTCGATGGGTGGTAGAGAGTCTCCCGGTGATGACATTGAAGGGACCTATTCTGAATCCTACATGCTCAACCTCAAGATATTCAGTGCCGGGCGTGGGATTCGAACCTGGGTCGGCACGATTGCACGAAGGAATTTCGTGCAGTTAGGTCAATCGCAATAGCCGTCACACTCCATTCATTCGCTTCTTCCATCTCTTTGGAGTGTCACTAGCCTCCTCGCAGTGTAATACCCTAGTGTCTAGGCTTCTCGTTGTTACTGATGATAGCCTTTTGCCTGTAGTAGTTGAGGAGAGCTCTTTGAGGACTGCCACGTGTCTCCTTGTGGAGATACAGCGTTTATAGCTAATTGAATCACCGAGTCCCTCTTGTAGGCTTCCTCCCAAAAACCAAAAAAATTGCATAATTCTCTAATGGCTACTATCGCCCAGCAGAATACCGCCGCCCCCGTCGCCGAGGAGGCCGCCCCTAATGCTCAGCAGCAGCAACAACAACAACCTGCCGCTCAGTTCGCCTCCCTTTACGTTGGCGACTTGAAGCCCGATGTCACTGAAGCTATGCTCTATGAGGTCTTCAACGGTGTCGGTCCCGTTGCCTCTATTCGCGTCTGCAGGGATTCGGTCACTCGCCGTTCTCTTGGTTACGCCTACGTCAACTTCCACAACGTGGCCGATGCTGAGCGTGCTCTGGACACCTTGAACTACTCCCCCATCCGAGGCAAGCAGTGCCGTATTATGTGGTCTCACAGGGACCCCACTCTGAGGAAGGCTGGTAACGCCAACGTGTTCGTGAAGAACCTCGACAAGACCATTGACAACAAGGCCTTGTATGATACCTTTTCCCTTTTCGGCAACATCCTTTCTTGCAAAGTCGCCACTGATGATGATGGCAAGTCTCGCGGCTACGGTTTCGTTCACTTCGAAAATGACGAGTCTGCCCATAAGGCTATCACTAAGCTCAACGGCATGATGGTGAGGAGCTTCCAGTCTGCTCTTTGTGTGTTACGGTTTTCATGTTTTAGATTGGTGAGAAGGCCGTGTACGTTGGCCCCTTCCAGAAGCACGCCGAGCGCGCTGAACAGCACGGAGATGAGCCCAGGAAGTTCACCAACGTTTACATCAAGCACCTCCCTGAGAGCTGGACTACCGAGGAGGACGTTCAGAAGGCCTTTGAGGAGTTCGGCAAGGTGAGTTGACAGGTGTTGGGATTGAACCTGGGTCGTATGGTTGTTTGTTCAGATCACTTCCGTTGCTATCCAAACCGACAGGAAGGGCCGTAGATTTGCCTTTGTGAACTACGAGGACTTTGACTCTGCTGCTAAGGCCGTGGAGGCTATGAACGGCAAGGACATGCGCACCCAGGAGGAGATCGACGCTGGCAAGGGCGAGGAGGAGTCCACTGAGGAGGGCAGTGATGAGATGCCCGAGTACAAGCTGTATGTGACCAGGGCCCAGACTAAGACTGAGCGCTCTGCTGAGCTTCGCAACAAGTTCCAGGCTAAGAACACTGAGAAGGTTGGCAATCAGTCTTGCAACCTGTATGTGAAGAATCTCCCTGAGGACGTTGATGATGAGAAGCTGCGTCAAATGTTTGAACAGTTTGGTGAGATCACTTCCCCCAAGGTGATGGTTGACGAGAACACCGGCGTGTCCCGTGGTTTTGGTTTCGTCTGCTTTGCTAACCAGGCTGACGGTGAGAAGGCTATCCAGGCTATGCACTTGAAGCTGTATGGTGGCAAGCCTTTGTTTGTTGCTGTGGCTGAGAAGCGTGATGCCAGAATTGAGAGGCTGCAGCAGCGCTATCGTGCTGGCATCCCTATGGGAGGCTTCCAGCAGAACTATCAGGGCTATCGTGGCCCTAGGAACTTCAATGCTCCTAATCCGTCCCCCATGTACTACAGTGGTGGACAGAACAGGCAGGGCGGCATGATGCAGGGTCCTCCTGGCGGCTTTGTCGGAGGCCCTCGTGGTCCTATGGGAGCTCAGCGTGGTCCTATGATGAGCGGTGGTTACCCTGTAAATCGTGGCCCTCGTCCCACTGGTCCTAATATGATGCCCATGAACCAACCTCCTCGTGGTAACTTCCCACCTCAGCAGCGCTTCCCGGGTCAGCAGGGTGGTCCCTTCATGGGGCAGCAGGGTGGTATGCCCCCTCGTATGATGCCAGAGCAGCATAACATGCCCATGCCCCATCAGAATCCTCCTCCGATGACCGCTGCTGCTCTTGCTTCAGCTCCTCCGGGACTGCAAAAGCAAATGCTGGGTGAGCGTCTGTTCACGTTGATATCTAAGTACCAACCTACCCTTGCTGGGAAGATTACGGGTATGATGTTGGAGATGGACAACTCTGAGTTGCTGATGTTGATCGATTCTGATCAGCAGTTGAGAATGAAGATCGACGAGGCTGTGAGGGTGTTGCAGCATTAAATGGGGATTTTCGGCGACTTGTAAGAACTCATTTGGTAGTCTGCTGGCTGTAGCCTGTCAAAAAAAGTAAACATGTTTTTTTCCTTGCTGCTCTGTTATCTGCGAGTAGCAAAAGCGTATTGGTAGTAGTTGTAGACGTTGGTGTTAGTAGTATGATGAACTGGAAGCTCTGATGATAGTGACACGGTATGTGATACTGTTATCTTTGATGTTGATGATTACGTTTCCTTAAGAACAGGTAAAGGCTATAGTTGACCGTAAAATGACGAGAGTTGCGTTTATATAGGTTAATTGTAGGTGATAGTAATCCTGCTGAGTTGTAGTGGTAATCGATGTGGCTGTTACTTCGGAAAGGTGATTTGGGTGGACAGTTCAACAGGTTTGGTCTCCTGCTGCCCTAGTAGAGACTCTCTACTAGAAAGTGCTGGACGGGTGCTAAGTTGATGATGTTATAGTGGTAGGCTAAGGCGGTGCAAGTTCTCTGTGGAGTGCAATTCGTGTGATGGTGTATTAGTGTCTGCTGAGTTGTAGTGGTACTTCATCGGTTGGCAATCTCGGAAAGATGATTTGGGTGGGGAATCTAAGAGGTTAATCATGTCCTGTAATAGTAGAGTGTCTTCGGCTGAGTTGTTGAAGTTGTGGTTTTACGTTTGGCCAGGATGTGCAAGCTCTCTCATGCTATAGGTTTCGGCGGTAGTTTCGAAGTAGCCCATTTGGTTGCTGCATATTCTGACTTATCCGTTTTCAGAAGGATAGAGGGCTTTGACGGTTGAATTGGGATATGGCCGGACTGTGAGAGTGGAGTACTATTTGTGTGATGCAGTATTTTCACTATTTTCCGGTGTGGTTATAATTGCATGCAAATTCGGTTGAAGGTCTGGTTTGGTTCAGTCCTGGTTAGCGGCTGTAGTTGGATTTGTTAGAATTTTGGTAATTTGGTGATGCTGCTCACGACAGCACCCACGTGGCGATTGGGAGCTCTTGCGCACAGCAGAGGTTTCTGGAAGATACCGCTGTGGAGCAAGGCTCGAGAGGCTCCTCGAGGCGGTGATGGACGGTTGTTGCGTAGTAGAGGCGGGGAGGAATTGGTGATGGAATTATGTCAATTGTGTAGTCGTTGCTATTCTCATTGAGTGAAAAATTCCGTATTTGTGAAATTTTCTCGAGGATTGCTTCTCTCTATGTGAAACTGGCAGTGGCTGTCGTAGTTTGATCAGCATTTGACAGATTGGAATGCAGATTAATACGGTCGGGTTTTCATCGTCGGAAGAATGCTTCTAAACTGTTTGCTGAATGAATTGGTTGAAATCAGAAACGCTGTTTTAGGCGGGCGCGATTTAATACGAGCAGTGGGAACAGGTTTCAGCAAAAGTCGTCCGCGATCCCGTCCAGGATTCACCCAGAGGGTTTTCTACAACCACATAGCCTTCTCCTATCTCGCTCAACTTTGCCCGGACTACTTCACGACGTTTGAGGGAACGATGAGCGACATTTGCAATGGGTCTCAAATTGCTCTGAAGTATCTGTCGGAAAAAGTGACTGATGATGACCTAAACGCGTTGAACCAGCGTGTGGAAGATTCACTGTATGAGAGTCTCTCTGAGGCTGTGACGAAGTACAGGCCTGTGTGGGAGGTGGAGTGGCCGGGAGTAGAGGCGCAATTGGATCAGTTGATCATCATTATGGGAGCCACTCGAGGGGGGACGATCAGGCCTGGACAGGTGACTTCTAACTAGCGGTTTCTAGTATGGATTCAGAGCTCCTCTTTAGAAGAAATGTTTTGTATGTTTTTCTCGATCAGATTTTTACTATTGGAGGTCAGCAGTTGGTGATGAGGACTGAGGAGGCCGCGCAGATGAATTTAAGCAATCCTAGGAAGTGGTCGAAGGCTGCGGGGCTGTTGAGGTCGGGAGGGTTGGTGAATGCTGATGTGAGAATAAAGTGCAGGCAGAAATTTTGGATACCAGATGAGGAGGAGGTAGTAGTAGTCGCGCTGGCCCATACGAGTGATCAGTGTGGGAAAATATGCACATGGTCAACTACAGGAGTTGGTGTATGATGGGGAAACTCCTGAGCTCAGCTGAGGAAAGTGAATATATACTCCTTCAACACTGGGTTCAGTTCGTATCATCACCGATCCTTGTCCTTGGAGGAGGGGACGTCATGTTACTCTTGTATTGACAACAGCTATAGGTTTTGGGACCAGTGAACTTGTGACACGATTCATGCTCGAGCATTCTTTGGATGCTCAAGAGAAGTGGAAAAACGGTTGCATGGGAATCCTCTCAGTGTGTGATGCTTTCATCGATTTTCGAACCCCTGGGAGGATTTGTAGTTGTTTCCGTTACGCTCCCATGGGACTGTGTTGTCGGGCTTTCTCTCTTCATGGACGCTTGCTGATTTTGAAGGAGTATTTTGAATGATTTGTGTGTTGTTCGGATGGTCAATGTTTGATAGACTTTGTGGGAGGGTTGAGTATATTGCTTTTGGAATGGTGAAAATGAGCGTGTGAATTATTTACCCACTTTTGGCCGAACGATTATGTCAGAAACCGACCAAGTTCGAGCCTACCACACACATATTTCGTATAGAGATGGACCTCATCCCCCACTCAGAGGCGATGTCTGAGTACAGGCCGACGAGCAGTATGAATCGGGATATGTCTTGGTAAAAATGTCTCTACTGGGAATCGAACCTGCGCGGCCTCGCTATCGATCTCGACGGTGCGGTGGACGGCGAGCGCTCCGCCCGAGTATCTTGCATCTGACCGTTTCAGTGGCGTATCTTACGAGCCCACCCAGTGGAAGATCATCGATGTGAACGACGCCTACGGTGGTAATCCGCCGATGAGGTGGGCACTTTGTCCTCGTGCCTGTGTGCATTGTTCTCATTAGATTCGACAATCTGAGCCCCGAGATGGATGAGGAGCACTGGAAGGGCGACACGTTCCATACAGGTTTCCCTCCCAAAAAATGAGTAGCTGAGGAAGTTTCATGTTGATTGCTTCTGACGATGAGTTGCGGTATAGTGAATTTCTCTCTTTTCTATCAGAATTCGTTGCCTCCCTCATGCCTAACGACGCGGTGCAACCTGCCGAGGTCGATGTCGAGGCTAACTGGCGGTCCAAGTCCACTCTTGGAACTGCCAGGAAGCCTACCATCATCCCAAGGTGCAACCCATGTCATCCTGGAGCCTGCATTCGTTCTGGTCCTCAATGGGTCTTCAACGACGATAGGGGCGAGGAGTGGTATAAAGACAATATCCGCAAGTTCATCTGGGAGTTCTCGCCTGACGCCGCCGACCCATCAGATGGCGAGCTGAGCAGTCTGTTGGAGTGCATGAAGCAGGGAAGGGCGTGTCAGTTCTCGAAGACTATGTTGAAGATTACCCAGAACACCATCGAGAAGCGTGTTGCTGAGCGGGCTAAGAGGGGCGACCCGAAGGCCGACTACTTCAAAGTCTATGCCATCCATGAGCGTTTCGACCGTTACGGCCTGCAGATGCCCAAAAGTGACGCGTCCCATCCACAGATGAGTTTGGGTGACAAGACTGTGCAAAGGCTCAGACGTAACTTGACTTTCGGCCGTATGCTGCTCAAGAAGCCTCACGTGGCGACTTTCTCTGGCGAGCTGATGTTTCAAAGGAAAACGCTGGTGTACGGTGAGAACGAGAAGGCGCCTGACTACGTCGGCATTCGATCTGCAGAGGAGCTGCGAGGTCAAGTGGAGTCTATCACGGCTACCAGCAACGGCGCCAACTTCCAGTTCTTGGATGCGCAATTTCGAGAGAAAGTGGTTGAGAGGATAGCTAGCATCGACTGGGACAAGACTGTCATTGACCTGTACATGCCGGTGCCGTTCCCCGATGGGACTGTCTATAGGCCAGCGATGAATTCGGTTTGGGTGGTGAGGAAAAGTGAAGATGAGGAGCTTCTGTTCTATGTGCTTCACTCGGCGTCAGCGGCAGGTTGTCCTAAGGCGAAGTTCCTTGGTATCAATTGGGGCGAGAAGACGGTGGGCAAGGCCGGTCAGAAGTTCACTAGTTTATCAAACGCTGAGAACGTGTATTCGATGTCTGCTACCCAGAAGCCGTTGACGCTGACGTTGGAGTCGTATTATTTCAACCGTTGTGGGGAAGGAGACAAGCCTTACGTAACGATTACATGCATCTTCGACCCGTGTACGAAGAAGACTTATGATGAGGAATATGGTTGTTATGACGGCCAGCTCGCTCTACTTCAGATGAGTCTTCTGAAAGGTAAGACTGGAAAGGGAAGGGACTTTTAATGTTGTGCACCAGGTGCCCTGATGTTCGCGCTGACTGAAAACTACTTCCCGGACCAAAGGACAGCCGCTATTTTCAGGCAGGTGAATATATCCGAACGTAAAGGTTTGATGCAAGACCTGCAGGTGAGTGCGAGAATAGAGTCTTGACGAATTAGTTTTATATTCTTTCGAGCGACCGCGTCCTGTTTTAGAGGAGACGCGAGTTGACTTTTGGGTCATGTCTTCTCATCAGGATGAGATTCTTGGTGCGACCGTGAACCTATTCGGAGATTATCATAATTTCCACGGCGCGTGCTGGGTTGTTCCGCCGCAGCTGCTAGATGTCAAGAATTCTGCGAAAGAGACTGCCGTCCAGAAGGCAAAGGAGAAAGTGGAAGCGGCTGCTAAGGAGAAGCGTCTAAAGCATCGTGAACAAGTAAGATTGGTTTAGTTGACGTATCTTACTTTCATTGGGGTCAGTTGGAGGCCCTCCACAGAGATATTGAAAAGGCTTGATTACCTCGCTGAGCGAGTGAGATGAGTTGTGACATGTAGCCGCTCGAAGGGCGGACTTCAGGAGAGTTTACATGATCACTTGCTTGTTGGGTTGATATCAGGTCTATCTCGTTGTCAACGTTCAGTAGGAAATCTCGCTGTACGTTTTCTGGAGACTGCCTTCCTTAACATGATGGCCTCCTGTGTGGTTGGGATGTCGCTTAATGCACGTGTTGGGTTGGTGTAGACTTGCAGACTGTGTCTATGTGAGGAGATGACTTCAAGCACGGGGTAGTGATGATACAGTATTGAAAGAAAAGATTGGAACATATCGTCAGTACGCGGAGGATGAATCGAAAGCACAGGGCGGATGATGTCCGAAATCTTACTCACCTCTTTGGTGATCTTTTTACAGTGGGTTATATCTTTCGTGTGGTCAATGGTGAATTTGACCTGTTCTCATTACCTCTTTTACAATACACAACTCGATGGGTTCCACAGTCGATGAAGTCTACAGGAATTATCTTAGGATAGAGATCATTCATTGTCTGCGCAAAACAGCAGGCAGACTCAACTCGCCAGATAGCAGATGTGGGTAAATTGCGGGAAGGTGGTTCATCCACAAGACTGGAACAACTCAACTAACAACTGTGATTACACCTTGAAAAAGCTAGAGCATGTTTCCATCTTTGGCCTCTTTCAATGCATGCATGGCCGACTTAGCGGCCGACGCTCCCTGAACTCCTGCCTGGGCTCCCTAATATGCCATTATCGTACAACCACCCACTCCAACTTCCTCACAGCCTCAGCCATTATCTTCGCCACCCTCGGATGACTGATCAACCCCGCAGCTTTCGACATGTGAGTCGCCGCTTGGACAAACTCGTCGTGACTCTCGTTCAGCTACTCTCACTCATATCCAGCGGGAAACCTCAGAGGACTCACATAATCATTCGCTGTTGAGGCGAACCCGCAACATCCCGCTGATTTCACTGGTACTGCCCAGCCCAAGAAGTCCGTGTGGACCTGACGACCAATATTTGATCCACATGGGCAGCCTTCTCACCTGACGAGCAGCCAACCCTATTGCCGCCAGCAGCTGGTCATTCATAGAATATTCACACCTTACAATGTCGGTCAATGCTTACACCCCCGAGTGGATCATATCATTGCACTCACCCGGAAGATATACCCAACACATTGTTCGATGGCTGCCCAAGGAAAAGATCCTACTATTACTCATATCGACTAACCACGGCAGGAGGTGAATGGTCATGTCTACACAGATCAGGTTATCCACCTCGTGTAAAATGAGGAGAAAAATCTTTTTCTCTTTTTTTCCCACACAAGAAAACTTGTGTAGAGAACATATTAGAAAATCGTAGAAATCTTGTTTCGCTGTACCCACGCAGCGAATATTGACAACACCACCCTTCACACACGAGCAAATGTAAAAATGAAACCCAAATCATCATCTTAACGTTGACCAGTCACTGTGCCAAGAGGACGCTGTTGAAACCGAGGGATGGTTACCCCCGATGGAAGCGGGCGACCTTGAGCTGAGCAACAGAGCCTCGAAGACGATGGTCATTATCCGCTAACCTTTTGCGATATCCCAAACACGAACTTGACGATCCCATCCGACGGAAGCAGCCAAACTGAGAAACAGCGTGACAGCCCTTTGCGAATGATGATGCCGTTACTTTGACGTGAACAGGGAGAGGTCAACTCCGTAGACGAATTCTGAGTGATGGTCAAATCTGTCCACTAGATGTCCCTGCGCAGAATTGGCTTCTAGATCCCAGACGAACACAGCCATATCGCTGGGAAAAAAGCGGAGCGAAGCTCTGTAGATCACACGTTTTAGCAGCAATACTTACTAGCCGCCGCTGATGACCGTCCTCGAGTTGTGTGGATGGCACTTCACCCGTCTTACCGCCAACTCATGGCCAGCCATAGTAACCTACAACGGTGGCTATCTTCCCTCACCAGAGCATGGGATAACTCCATGGAGCATAAGAGTGGCTCGTTCGGCCGTCCAAGAGGGAACGTGGTGATGATAATTGGCCTACCAGCGGTGCTGAAGGGTTCCGCAAATCCCAACTCCGCACGACTCGATCGACCCCAGCGGTGACAATGACGCTATCGGCATATTTGTTCCAGTCACATGAGAGGATCTCCCCGTCATGGGCATGTGGTATCACAATGGACGGCGCCGTCTGATTCTGAGGAGAGCCTAATAAGTCCATCGCTCTGAATCGAAGGACGACGTCGACTTGGGTAATACAAAATAGTGTAAGTCCAGATGAACCCACATTCCGAGTTGCTGATCAGAACAACGGCTGGAATCAATACTGAAAAACTAAATTCAGAATTAGATGTACCAGCCGCTGAAATTTAGCGAACACTATGAGGTCGATGAGCTTACTCCGGCCTTGACGTCGTGCAAACAGACCTTCGCATCCCCGCCGACAGTCGCAAGCCAACTGGCATTGCGTGGCGACCACGAGCAGGCGTAGATCACACCCGTGTGTCGACCTTCCAACCGCAGACCCACTGCACCCTGAAGAAAAGTACACATAAATTTCATGAAGAGAAGCATTAAAACAAGTAGAACCACTACGACTGACCAAGAGTAGAAACAAGAAAAATAACTATACACTGGCGGTCGGGATAATCGAAATCGCCTCGGGCTCACCTTAGGAAGGTCCCACACGTTGATGACTCTATCCCAACCCACCGAAGCTAGTAACGTAGGGAGCATCGCATTGCACTCTATCCATCCGATCTGGATCACACACAGAGGACTCGACCATACCCCACAAGAAGTCTCGTCACCTCAGCTGTATGACCAACAAGATTCGCTATGGGCAAGTTGCCCGTCGGTGATGTTATATCAAAGACTTTGATACTGCCGTCACCGGTAGCGGCGAAAACCTACACCCAACAACAACTTGCATCGATTTTTCCTCGCCAAAAAGAAACTCACAATTTTATCGTTGTCTTCTGCCCAGGCGAGATCAAAGCAGCCGTCCTTGGTGATGTACTCCTTGGTCTCTGATGAGCGGGAGAGGTCCAACACTACTAACTGAGCGTGAAGACAACGAGTAATTATCGAAAAATGGAAGATCTGATTCTCATCTCCTCACTTTGCCGTTTCCAACTATGCCATAATATTGCGCCGTAGCCACTCCCAGAATGTGTGAATTAAATGGTGAGAATTGACAAGAGTAGCCAGCAAAGTGCGTCGTCGTCTGGAAGGTTGACATGGACGGCTCACAGGGAGTGATAAAAAATCTGGCAACACCCACAGAGTTCCGCCCGCGCTAGTGAACTCAAAGTACCGGTATGGAGGGGTTAACTTCAGTTGACCATATCGCTCGGATCGTCGGTTGGCCACATCTCCTGCGATTTTGTTATCAGCCGCTTCACGCACTGGATGTATTTCCGTGTAGTTTCATCGTTCAGGATATGTGCACATTGATTCGAGCCGATCTGTCGTTAGCAGCTCGGTCTTGGATACCCCACTGGGTGACACCCACCGGGCCAGGGCGCATCACCTGTCACCACCGTGGATCATAAGGTAAAACCCATTACAAAAGATGGCTCACCGATTGCCAGAAGCATATAGAACTCATTGGCCTCACGGTACTTCTTCATGCCACTCAGCTTCGCAATAGAATGTAGTTTCGTCTGGATCTCCTCGTCCAGCGAGCCCGTCTTGAGTCTGTTCAGCAGTGGCTTAAGGTATTGCTTGGTTTGCCGGTATTGAGCTGAGAGGAGCGATAACGACTGAAGGGAGCCGCGGTTAACTCACCTGTCAAGTTTCGACCCGCAGCGGTTTGCTTCATCTCATCTGGTCGTGCGCCGAGCTCTGTCTCCCATGCTTTCAGAATCTTCCTTATCCATCGTATGACTTCACGATCTTCAGGTTTGACCAAACCTAAAATGCAAAGGGCTGAGCCGAGAATCGAACCCGGGACCTCGCGCACCCGAAGCGCGAATCATACCACTAGACCACACAGCCGGATGAAAACACAAACACTGCTACACGCATGGTCGAATCGCAAGTCGTTCGTACCCAGCTTACTCTCATCTTCCGCCTGTGCCGGTCCCTCCACTGCTTCCTCATGCATCACCTAACACACAATGAGAGCCTCTCTACACGCCCCTCACATCAACCATACCTCCTGCAGGACATTAGTCTGGCCATCTTCATCATCTCGAGGAGCCCTCGAGGACAGCCCAACCAATCGCAAATACCTATCATCCGTCTTTCTCGGACCACCTCCCTCTCCCCCACGCTCACCTTCCCTTGTCCGATTCTCCGAAGAGAGTACAGGGCTCCCCGATCGCTCGGAGCTGCTCGAACACTTCGTATAGATCCTCCTCGTCCATCAACGTCTCGTCCGTCCACGAGTCAATATCATCAATACTCAACAACCTGATGAATCAACCCAAAATTTTAATCCCAGGATCGACTGAGCTCACCCCAGTCCATTAGAATTCTGATCATCTCCACTCGAGCCATCATGTTTCCTCTTAGATCGCATCCGCTTGCCATGTTCGATCTCTTTATGAAGCTCCGATATACGGGCCTGACGAAGTAACTCTAGACCCAGTGCTTCCCACCAACACTATACCGTCCTCACACTACTCTACCAATACACAGACGCACGCCTCCTGAGCGACATATTATCCGATTTGGTGCTCATCGCGTGTTCTATTACGACGTTCCCGAGCATCAGGAGAACTCCAGTCCTATCGTATATCAGATATACAAGACCGAACCATCCCCTCAGACTCTACGGAATTCACTTCATTTCATTAATTTTATCTAATCAGATACCCTATTATCAGAATGAAGTTTATTCTCCTCACTGGGTTCCTACGATAAACGGAGGCTTGCCCTCGATCTTCAACTGAGGTAGTCGATAGTAAATTCAATTAAAATAATACATCACATCGGAAAGGAAGTATCTTGGCAGAGGTTATCTCGTCCTGTGAACAACATTCCTCGGGGTGATGATAAACGAGACAATTCAAAGGGCTAAAACTGATCCCTCGTGAGCTAATGTGCATCGATGCGTGTCGGACTAAGCCGTGTTGTCGTAGTAGGCGTTGGACTTTAAACTCACACACACATAACATAGAATTTGCAACCCTTATTACAACACGTTGGAGTTCCCTCTGCCGTTCCTTCTCCCTCTCCCTCTCTCGCTCCTCCAAGTACTCCTCCTTCCTCTTCTTCTCGAGATCACCTCGCCGACCACAACTCCGTCCAGCCCCTCCGGCTATCATTGCAGCAAGCTCATCCATTTTTTGGA